AGGTTCGGCGCTGATTCGTAAGAAGTTAGTGGGCGGAAGAGCGCGTCTCCATTCCGGCCGAAGCCGACAGGAGTCGGTTTTCCCCACAGCAGAGGAAGGGGGTTATTTAAAGGCGGCCGGTTACATCACACCTGCGCTGATAAACCGTCTCGATCTGCCCTGACCCCCTTTTTAACCATAATACTTATTACTTACTACCTATTTAGGGAGATGGCCGTGTGCGTATTAAAAACCAAGACTGCACGTTATCCCGACAGCTAAACCCGCCACCCGAATCAACGACCTCCAGCCGGACACACCGTGACCTTCCCGCATCACACGGCAAAACAGGAAGAAGGACCAAATTCACAACTACGGCTGATAACTGAGCGTCATGAACTGTTTACTTCTCGCACCACGTCGACCTCCGGGCGATTACAAGTAGGCCCCTGGCACATCCCCGGCCTCGGGTGCGCTCTCCGCCCGGGCTGCGACACCCTCCGGATCCCGGGCCAGCGCCCAGACTCACTCCCGAACACTTACAACGGTGCCGATCGCTTCCTTGGGCGGCTTTGTGTAAATACTAGCCCGCTGGGCGATGGCTGGTCCCCGCAGGGCCGAGCGGGCGGTCAGGACACCTCGCAGGAGTGCAGACATCGCTGTTCCAGTGCTCAAGTCGTAAAACCTGCAGCCGTCAGTTCCTAGCGGAAGGCAATAAGAGTCGTCACGGGAATATGACGTCGACGGCGCGGCCTTCAGGACCGGGGATGTTGGGAATTGTAGTCTTTTGGGTGGGGGTGTCTTATTTATCGACACTCCAGCTTGTAGAAAACCCTCCCACCACCCAAAATAAAACTCGCCGAGGCCCACAGTCAGCCAGAGCTGGCAACCCTACCTCTGGAACGTGCTTCCTTGGAAAGACACCCCCTTCAGTCGGGTGAAGGGAAAAATCCTGCACGTTTCTATACATACTGGCAAGAGGAAATTAAATCTTTAGAATACCTTCCTGAATCCGGCACTATTTTTATTTCATACAGCAGTGCTGTACCTGTAAATAATCTCAAAACCACCAAACAAAAGCAGACTCTGAGTTTTAGCCAGAGGGTATGTGCTAGATTATTGAAATTATTTATTTAGGATTTGAAAACATGAGGCAGGAAAAAGACACACCAGGCAAGACAAGGGCGAGTGAGCAACGTCCCTTTCCAGGGTTTCTTGAAGGGTCACCGTACAGAGCTGTTCCCTCCCCCTGGGATACATCTTCACCCCTCTCTGTGCTTCAGACAGGTGATGTCCTCTTTACTTAGATCCTGTTTCTCTGTATCTGTATGTGGTCTGACCGATACACAGGCGCTGTGTGGACACGCGGACACACTGAGGCGCACTCAGACTCAGAGACGCACTCATCCGCTGACACGCTGAAGCACACCGGCTCGTTGAACCCCGGGGGTCAGCCCAGGTGACCGCGCCAGACTCGGCGGAGCAGCAGAGACGTGCTGCCGGACGGTCGAAACTGGACGTGCGTTCATTTAGGACGGAGAACAGGAAGCAGTTCTTTACACAAAGGAGAGTTGTGGGTGTCTGGAGCAGGTGGTTGAGGTGATGAACAAAATTTTAGAATGATTGCGCTACTAGACTACCAGATGAGCCACACTGGGATCAAGCCTCCTCTCGTTAGCAGCCAAAAAATTTAAAATCAATCAGCTCTCTGAGATGCTGACACCCTGAGACTCTGGGTACTGATCTAATACGCTGGCATGTGGACAAGGCGCATATATGGGATACAGACAATAAGGCGATAGGACTGGCCAATGGGAGTGTTTATAGAAGTGATGGGGTGTGGTCATTTGTGATTGGGGGCGTGGTCTCATATGGCCTCTTTCAGCAGCGAATGCTTGACCTCTTTCAGCACAAGCTCCTCCTTTTTGGGCGGAGCCTTCGCCGCCTTCTGCCCCTGCGCTCTGGAACAGGGAGAGACGCATGTTAAAATGTTAAAA